AAGGCACTAAGGTTTACTTGCTTTGTGGACCAAGAAGCACACAAGAAGCCTTGTGCTCTGGATCTTGGTTCTGCTGCTACTGCTCCTCTGCCCCTCCTTTGGAGTCATAGCTGTTTCCTGGATCAAGGAGGTTCACGTGCAGGTACCTTGGGTGTCCATAGAATATGTTCCACTCCTGTCTCTTCTTTCATGATGGTAGTGAAATCCGTCTCCTACTTCTGAGATAACTCATTTTGTACTCAGCAGGATGACATGGAAGAAATTAGGAGGTAAAAGAGCTGAATAGAACATCTCAAAGGGCAGCTTCAGAAGACAAAGTCAAATATCATAATAAAATATGCAAAGATCTGGAGTTAGAAGAAAAAATTCTAGCCTCGACTTGTAATATTGAAGCATTTTGTGGGCAGAATGGACCCCTGGTGTGGCACTGTAGGATCAGCACTGGACTGTGAGCCACAAGGTCAGCTGTTCAAACCCACCCACTGCTCCTTGGAAACCCTAAACAGGGTCACTGTGAGTTGGAACCAACTCAACATCACTTAACAAAAGCAACAATGGGCAAAATATTGAATGATGCAGAAACCATAAAAGATGATAGAAGGAATAGACAGAGTCATTGTATCAAAAAGAAATGGTCGATATTCAACCATTCCAAGAAATAGCATATGATAAAGAGCCAATGATATTAAAGGAAGAAGTCCAAGGAGCATTGAAGGTATTGGCAAAGAACAAGTATCCAGGAATTGATAGAATACAAAATGAAATCTTTCAACAAACTGATGCAGCACTGGAGGCACTCACTCATATATGTCAGGAAATTTGGAAGACAACTTCACCAGCTGCTCCTTGGAAACCCTACACCAGGTCGCTATGGGTCGGAATCAACTCGACAGCACTTCACAACAACAACAACAAAAACCTGGCCAACTGATTGGAAGAGATCCATATTTTTGCCTATTCCAAAAAGAGGTGACCCAACAGAATACAGAAATCTTTGGACAATATCATTAATATTGCATACAAGTAAAATTTTGCTAAAGATAATTCAAAAATGGCTACAACAGGATATTGATAGGGAATTGCCAGAGGTTGAAGCTGGATTCAGACAAGGATGTGGAACGAGTGATATTGCTGACATCAGATGGATCTTGGCTGAAAGTAGAGAATACCAGAAAGATGTTTACCTGTGCTTTATTGACTACACAAGGGGATTTGATTGTGTGCATCGTGACAAGCTATGGACAGCATTGTAGAGAATTCATATTCCGGAACACTTAATTGTGCTGATGAGGAAGCTGTGCATAGAACAAGAGGCAGTTGTTCCAGTAGAACAAGGGAACACTGATATTAGAAAAATTTTCAGAACATCGAAATTAGAAAAGCCAGAGCTGTACTCTCTCAGCTTACTTATTCAATATGTTGTTGTTGTTGTCAGGTGCCAT